ATGTTCTCTCAGGCCTAGTAGCGATGCATCAAGATAGCCTGCATCTGATGTGGAGAATCCTGGGGCATGTTTGCCTGCACAGGGGTCATTTCTATAGATGTTCTTATGGCTTACAGGAGAGGCGGGGGAAAGGGTAAGGAGAGAAAGAAGAGACACTTTCAGGAGTTTTGCCACCACATTACTCTTCCGGCTTAAAACTCCTCAATATCCTCCCATTATCTACAGTAACCTAACTAGACCATTTCCTAAGCCAACCCCAGGCAGTTGTAGAAGAGGATTCTGAAGCCTGGTTCTGGCTCCATGGGAAGGAGTATCATGATTGATCAGCAATGTCTGCTCTGGGCAAGAGAGGGAGGTGGGGCACATGTATGCCATTTCTTTGCAGTTTTCTAGAACACAGGGAGCTCCGTCTGAGCCAAGAAGTCAGGGTAGCTGGAGGGAACTGGATATGATGATAAAGGCCACTTGTCAGCTATTAATGTCAGCCTCTAAATAACAAACAGGTGTCAGTACACTTGCCACCTCTGGTCAACTCGTGGTAGCCACTTGGGCATGGAGATTCATGTCTATGGAAAGGACATTGTATTTCAGTCACCCATGTCTGCTGCCAGCCCGGGTTACAGGAGTGGCAGCACAATTCCCTGTCTTTCTTTTTTTGAATTTTTTTTTTTTTTTGGTAGAGACAGGGTCTTACTATGTTGCCCAGGCTGGAGTGCAGTGGCACAATCAGAGTTCACTGCAGCCTTGAACTCCTGGGCTCAAGGGATCCTCCTGTCTCAGCTTCCCAAGCAGCTGAGACTACAGGCAAGCACCACCATGCCTGGCTAATTTTTTAAACAATTTTTTGTGGAGATAAGGTCTCACTATGTTGCCCAGTCTGGTCTCAAACTCCTGGCTTCAAGCGATTCTCCTGCCTTGGCCTCCCAAAGTGCTGAGCCACTGTGCCCATCCTTGATTCCTTGTCTTTCTGACCCTGCTCCAATCTCAGGGGAACTCGGCTCTTTTTCATCATGCCAAGCTAAGGACAGGGATAGAATGCCATTTTGGAGTCTGTGGGATTCTAATGGGACAAGGTCACCAGGAGTCGGATCTTTTAGAGAAAGGATACAAAACTCCTGTAAAGACAGAGCATAAACTCTGTAGTGAATATGAAATCTATGCCTTGAGGCTGTTTACTGAGACCCCAGGGTCACACCTTCTGTCAGTGGGAAATCTGAGAGTTCGAATTTAAATGAGAAAGGTTCCTTTCTTTTTATTCCCCTGTCTGGGCCTGAGGGCCAGGGTGGTGATGTGGCCATGAGCAGAGGGCCAGGAAGGCATCTGCTCTGCTTTCAGACTAGACCTGAGTGAGGGCTAGAAGCAGAACTGGGCACTGGGCTGGCAAGTGGGCAGGGCACCAGCAAAGGGGCCTGAAGCCCAGCAGAATAAACACCAGAGGATGCTCATGGGTGTGGAAGCTTCTGTGCTGCAGGGGAATTCCAGTGATGGGCTGGGGATTCTTGGGTCAGGTATCCCAGTTTAATCCTTCCCATCCATGATACTGGTTTCCTTTTACCGGCTGAATGTGTTTTTCCAGGGGTTTCCACCTGGGGGGACCTGAAGCATCACAGTCACTGGGACACAGCAGGGACCCTTCTTGGAATTCCCAGCCCTAGAGACACATGTTGGACGACACACAGCGGAAATCTACAGAGCACTGAGGCCCATAATGAAGCAAAAGGAACAGACTCTGGAAGGGAATGGTTTACAAGGACGGTTTGTAAAACACCTATTAGGTGCCAAGCGCTCACACGCATCAGCTGTGAGTCCCACAGCAACCCAGCAAGGAAGGTGATGCTGCCCTAAGTGACAAACGGGGAAGCTGAGTCTCAGAGGCACTGAGGAGCGTCCAGGAGGTAACTGACACAGCCGTCACGGCTTACAGAGGGGCCAGTACACGGATCATCTCACTCCGTGGAACTGCTCACCACAAATAATTGTAACTACGTTTTTTTAATGCTACATTTTTTTTTCTGGCCACATATAAAGGTCAGAAATTTGCTATAATTTTTCACATTTATTTGGGTTAGAGACATACTATGTTCTATGCATTACTTGTGTGCTGTTCAAAAATCATAAATAGTATTACTGGGAAAACTGATTGAGAAAAAATCCTTTGGAACAAGAATATATAAATGCAATGATTGCACAGAATAAATAAACAGCTTACCCACAATTTCTCTTTTGGATAAATGTAAAGTCATTAGTTTCAGAACAGTTTTCCCAAGGAGGTAAGATTTTGCTTTTCCTCCCTAATGCCTCCTCAGAGCTGGTACATAACTTATGCCTAGCCATCCCTGAAAAGGACTTTATATCAAAGATATTTTTCCCTGAGCAACCCCATACAATAGGGACAACATAGTTGAGAAGAACATGGGCTTCAAAACGAGGCGACCCCTGCTCAGAATCCTAATTTTCCTATCTCAGTTAACCTTGGGTCATTCAAGTTGCTTCTCTGATCATTAATTTCCTCATCAGGAAAATGGGGTTAATAATCCTGAGAATTAAATGATGGAATGTATAAAATGCTTAGGATAGACTAAGTGCCTAATAAATGGAACTGATTTTTAGGTATTGATGGTTCCGGGGTTTTACAAATAAGAGAACTGAAGATCAAAAAGGTGGCTTGCTTAAGGTCATCTGACTAGTGGCAGAGCTGGGACTAAACGCTGATCTGTCCCCCACAAATGCCAGCGTTCCTTCTCCTCTGATGTCCACAAGGCAACTGATATTCACAGTTGAGTTGTCAAGAAACACACAAATTCCCATTCATTGATTCCCAGCAGCCGATTGTAGGAAGCATGTAATGTGCTTTAGAAATATTTCTATCCAAAACAGTTCTAAATGTTGTCACCTTTAATAGCCAATGTAAGTTATCTAAAAAATGCACTGACATGGACCAGTTCCAGAGCCTTCAATGCCCAAATTCAGAGTCGCTATGATCTTCTTCTGCATCAGAACTTATTAGCAACATTAACCTCAGTCTTGGAACCATGTCAGTTTTATAAACACTGTTCTTTCTATTGTGGAAAGACAGGATAGTTTAAGGACATTTTCCTTGATATCATTTCATTTTCTATTTAAGTCATGAAAATAGGATTGAATTTGTGTAATATTACACACAAACTACCTTAGGGTTGTAGATTTTTAGTCTGTGCTATAATAGTGTGTCCTGATAGTGTAAATATTTGTTGGAGAAAGATTAACTAGCAAGGCAGTATATTCAGAATGGCTGCCTCTTTCATTAACCCTGTAAGGAAAGAAACTGGAAAGATATGCAATTCTGTAAATCACAATTTATAAGCAAGTGGCAGCAATTAAACGTCTAGTTGAGCTAGTTTCTTTTTTTAGGTCCATTAAAGTTTATATTATTTTTTAAATAACTCCTTTTCTGCCATAGCTTTATTTTAAATCTGCATCTTAAACATGTAAGGGCCAGAAATTTGCTCTAAGTTTTCACATTTATTTGGGTTAGAGACACATTATACTCTATGCATTCATTACTTGTGTGCTGTTCAAAAATCACAAATAGTATTACTGGGAAAATTGATTGGGAAATGAATCCTTTGGAACAAGAATATATGAATGCAATGATTACACAGAATAAATAAACAGCTTACCCACAATTTCTCTTCTGGATAAATATAAAGTCATTAGTTTCAGAACAGTTTTCCCAAGGAGGTAAGATTTTGCTTTTTCTCCCTAATGCCTCCTCAAAGTTGGTACATATCTTATGCTGAGCCATCCCTGAAAAGGTAGCTTTAATCAAAACCCGATCTATAAATCACCTTTAAAGCCTTGGATGTTTGGCTTTATGAAGTCTTAAACACACTTTGCAGGTCCACAAAAACCATAAATCAGATTAGTACAGTTCCTCTCCAGAGGTGGCTTAATGAGGGAGAGAAGTACAGAAGACTCCAACCCCAGAGCCGGGGGCTACACCCCCTAGTTCACAGGACATATATTTTATGGAAAAGGGTAAGGTTGTATCACAGTGTCAAGTCAGAAACTCAAATCCTCTGATCAGAATCAGGGTAGGACTGAGAAGAACCTGCTGGCCACGCACGAGTGGGTTAGAATGGAACTTCTCCCCACGAAGGCAGCACGGGCTTCGATGGGGTATTTTTCCTGGCTTCCGAACCACATCTGACAAGCCACTGCGGCCCTATTGCACCGCCAGTGTCTGGACTTTCTAACAGTTTCCTTTCCAGAACTTTCCCTGCGGGCATGGAGACTCTTACCAAATTCGGCTCCATAATACTTGCCCCAAAATTAGAACCCAGGATCATTCTCCACGCCTCCACTGATACGGAAAAATACATGAAAGCGTGGATTAGGGCCTTTGCCACAGATAAGAACAAAATCCAACGGAGACTTGACGTTTCTTTAGAAGGGCTGCCACCAACTGAACTTTTCCCAGAAGTTACATCGGTGCTGACCTTCATCAGTTACATTGAGAAAAAATCTGTTCTATGTGACCGTCGGCCACAGGAGACGGCATTTTGGGCACTGAACTTGACGAGAAGGACTTTCTAACTTTGATTCAGTTTCAACTTACACTCCCCCAGCCCCTCCATGGCAAAGAGCCCGGGCCCCCCAATGGGGAGGTGAGGCTCAGAGCAGCGGGGGTGCCCGGGCGCAGCGCACACTCTCCGGTGTCCGAGCCCCGAGCCCCGAGCCCCGCAGTGGACTTCCGTGCGGCGCGCACCGAGGCTGCCGTCACCTGCCGCGCGGTCCGGCCCTCCCCGCCGACCCAGGCGCGCCCCGGGCGCATCGCCGCCGAGGAGGGCACCGGCCAGGGTGTCCACGCGGGTCCCCTCGCGGCCGCGGCGGGGCTCGGCCCGACTTCAGCGAGCAGATCCTCCACCCGCGGCCGCTGACCCGCGCGACGCCCCGGCGGCACCGACGATGCTCCGCAGGCGCCGCGGCGGCGGGTCCCGGGAAGCTCCCGCGGTCCTTACCTGGCGAGGCCCGTCCGGGGCGCTCCCGGGGTCCTGGCTGGGCCGGCGCCGAGCCCAGGGCGACCGCGGATCGCTGGCTGCGGCGTTCCCGTCTCCGGGGCGCGGGCGCGCGGGGCGCGAGGGGCGCTGCCGAGGCTCCGCGGGAGCGGCCGGGCTGCGGCTGAGTCAGCGCCCCGGCGGCGCGGGCGAGCCCGGGACGGCAGCCGAGGGGGGCTCTGAGCGGAGCCGCGGCCGCCCTGGCATTTTAAAGGCGAGGCAGCTGGACGCTGTTCAAGCGGAAACGCAGAGAGAAACTTCAGCCCCCGGGGCAGAGCGTTGGCAGCGCGGGGCGGGGGCCCGAGAGCTCCTTGCGGGCGCGCAGACCAATTGGGCTCTTCTAATACGCTCTGTAAATGCATTTTTTTTTTTCAGAGATTCCCTTTACAGTTAAAAAAAAAAAAAATCCCCTAAACAACAACGACAACCAAACCGTCTCAAAGCCTCCTCCTGCAGTAAGCTATAGCAAGCCAAGCGCTTCCGTTAAAGTTAGGGCAAGGGAAGGGCGGGTTTGGGACGTCTGGTCCATGCAGTTAGACAAGGGAAGGAAATAAGGCGTAAAAATACTGAAGTTGTGCCTTTGTTAAAAATAAATATATTATACGTGTGTGTGTATATGTGTATATATAATATATACGTGAAGCGGGAGAAAAATGATTAGTATTTGCAGCGGATGTGACTGTGTAGTTGGAAAGTGCTAACTGAAGACTGGGTGACATAATAGCCTTTGCAAATAATTGGCAGGCTACAAAATAAACATGCCAAATGTACAGTGTTCTTGTGCACTTACTAACCAGTTTGAAAGGCAAATAAAAATCCCATTCTCACTAATAGCCAAACCACAGTAGCTAGGAAAATAAACTTATCATGAAATGTGGGAAAAAAAAAAAAAAAAAACTTTCTCTACTGGGGGACTGGAGAAGACTTGAATCTATTATGACACACGACTTATTCTTGGACAAGAAGAAGTAAATATTGTAATCCTATCATGTCCTCTTTATCTGTCAATTCTGTGTCATCTCTATCAAGTTCCAAGTAGAATTTTCTTTTTAACGTGACATGATTCTTGGCGTCATGTGGAAGAATAAAGAGTACAGGCAACAAAATATTGGCAAGAAAGAGCACAAGGGAAGCTAACCCTGCTGGATAGTAAAAAGAAGAAATGCTTGCACGCATAAATGAATAAATACATAAATAAAATACACTGAGTGCTTACTATTTAAGGACGTGCTCTACATGGATTAATGCATTTTCTGCATCACAACAACCCTGAGATGCAGGTACTGATGCTGCTGCCATTTTCAGATAGCAAATGGAAGCCCAATAGTGTATCACGTCCAAGGTCACACAGGTAGGTGTGGGGGATCAGGGGCTTGATGCAGGCCTTTTGCCTGCAGAAACTATGCATCTATGTGCTTAAACTCCATCACACGACACTCCTGTGTCACAAAGCAAAAATCAGCACATTACTGGTCTGGCCATGACCTTCAATGGAATGGAATGAAGAGCCCAGAATTAGAATTACATGAGAAACTGTGGTGTTTAAGGGGCACTTCATGTTAATCAGATAAACGGTTTGTTTTTTTTTTTTTTGGGACAGAGTTTCATTCTTGTTGCCCAGGTTGGAGTGCAATGGTGTGATCTCCACTCACTGCAACCTCTGCCTCCCAGGTTCAAGTGATTCTCCTGCCTCAGCCTCCTGAGTAGCTGGGATTACAGGCATGCGCCACCATACCTGGCTAGTTTTTGTATTTTAGTAGAGCTGGGATTTCACCCTGTTGGCCAGGCTGGTCTCGACCTCTTGACCTCAGGTGATCCACCCACATCAGCCACCCAGAGTGCTGGGATTACAAGCATGAGTCACCAAGCCTGGCCCAGATAGATAGATTTTTAAATAAATGATATTGGAATAACTAGATAGTCATTAGTGAAAGTGTGGACAGCTCATTTTCTACTTAGTTCCCCAGACCAAAACAAATTCCAGATCCATCATAAATTGTACATAAAAAACTGAAGCCAAAAAATAATGAGATGAATATATATAAAATGTCATAAACTTGGAATTCCAAAAGTCTTTTAAAATATATCATAAAACCATAAAGGAAAAGACTGATATATATGATTACAAAAGATCCAAATAAACATCTTTATGGAAAAAGATACCATAAACAGACTTCAAAAATAAACAACCAACTGGAAAAATATTTGCTATACATATGAGATGGAGTTGCTAAGTTTAACAAATAGAAATATAAACTCAGTTGAATTTGAATTCAGATAGACTATGAATAATTGTTTAGTATGATTATGTCCCATTTATCGTTCATCTGAAAGTCAAATTTAACTTGATGTCCTGCGTTTTATCTGGCAGGCCTAATATAGCAGCAATATTTTAATGCAGATATCTTACAATGAAGTCTCATAATCATTTTTTAAAAGGCGATCGCCCCAATAGAACAAAGAATAAGAGAGATGAGTAGGCAGTTCACACAGAAAAAAGTATATATAAATGTCGCAAATAAGAGAAAATAGCCATTCTCTCTAGCACCGAAATAAATGTAAATTTAAAAATTCAAAAAACTGCACTTTTTACCTACTAGCTGGCACATTTTAAAATATCGTACAAATTCAGTGCTGCTGAAGGGTTTGGACAAATTAGCATTCTCTCTCATTGTTTATGAGAATGTGATTTAGTACAATATTTCTAGAAAGCAGTTTGAGGACAAATGTCAAATTGAATACTTTATGTACAAGCAAATCCATTTTCAATCCATTAGCTAAAGACATCAGCTAACGAGTGGATAAAATATATATAGCAGATGGTTTGTTGCTTTGCAGAAATAATTTATAATAGTAAAAAATTGGAAACAACCCAAATATCTGTCAATAGGGGATTAGTTATTGAAATATAATTAAATCATAATACTATGCAATGAGACTTACTGTGATGTTTGATGCAGACATTATTCTTTTTTTCTTTGTTTTTGAGACGGTCTCCCTCTGTCACCCAGGCTGGAGTGCAATGGTGTGATCTCAGCTCACTGCAGCCTGCGTTTCTTGGACTTAAACGATCCTTCCACCTTGACTTTCCAAGTAGCTCAGACTACAGGTGCACACCACCACGTCTGGTTAATTTTTGCTTTGTTTTGTTGTTTGCTTGTTTTTGGTAGAGACAGGGTTTTGCCATGTTGTCCGGGCTGGTCTCAAACTCTTAAGCTCAAGTGATCCTCCCGCCTCAGCCTCCCAAAGTGCTGGGATTACTGGCATGAGCCACAGAGCTGGGCTGATGCAGGAATTATTCTAAGCACTTCCTGTGTATTAACTTGTTTAAACATCAGAAAAAAAAACTAAACTAAATAAAACAGAAACACTGTAAGAAGGTACTATTAGCATCACCATTTCACAGAAGACAAAGCACACAGAGAGCTAAGCAAATTTCTCAAGGTCTTACAGCTGGAATATTGAGGACTAGGATTTAAATCAAGGTGGTGTTGTTCCAGAGGCCACACGCTTAGCTGTCGTGCAGTGTCGTGTACTGAATGGAATCCCATAATAGCATGTCAGAATAAATGCATCCATAGGGTGGAATACCACATAGGTGTTAAAAAAGACAATATAACTCTGTACTTACTGACACAGAAGATATTTATGACATACTGTTAAGTAAAAAAAGAAAATGTCAAAACCACATACATGTATGATTCCATTTCCATAATGTGGAATCTATTTATATGTGGTTACGTGTATGTATAGACAGAAATGTCTGGATGAATAATCACTGGCATATTAAACAGCCTTTCTTTCTGAGTGATGGGATTTCAGGTGAGTTTTTGTTTTCTTCATTCTACTTTTCTAAATGACTTAGGTTTTGATATTATGAATATGTGTTTTTTAAATATTTAGGAAAAGAGGAAAACAAAATCCTGGTTGGGGATGGAATTCCTATTTTAGGATTCCATGCTCCAGTGGCTTTATATTCTAGGCTTTCTGCAAGCTCGTTACCTCTCCCTTCAAATTCTGACAGCTGAGATAAATACCTAGTTAGGACTCAGCCTGGAGGATCATGGGGGTTCTTAGCAGCAGGTGAACCCCAAGCATCCCCATGTACCTCCTGCTGCCTTTGGCTGAATGAGGAAGATCGTGCACTGGACTATGTAAGTGAATCTTGCTGTTCTCAACAGGGGTGCTGAGAACACGGGCAGGTCCCATCCATTCTCTGTGACTAGTGTCTTATCTGTAAAGTTAGATGTGTAAGTTAGGGATCTAATTGCAAAATACAGAAATTATTTGATACAACTTATACTGGTTTAACAAATAAGGCATATTCTCTGGAAGGTTTAGAGAATCCAGAGAGAGTAAGACAACAAAGGTACAGTCAGAACCAAGATGCAATTTACTCTAAAGAACTGCTGTCATCATCTCATCTAATGCTTCTCCCTCTGTTCCCTGTTTCTGCTTCTATCTGGCTTCAGTGTCACCTGTTTAATTCTACACTGGTTTTCTCTCCTTCTCAATCCTTGAAAATATGGCAGTCCCCTGAGTTTTATGTAACATCTTCAATCACCCAAAGAAATTAATTTTTCTGGTCCTAGTTTAAAAATTTTCACACCAGGGTTTCATTAACCCAGCTTAGGGGGGGAATACCTATTCACTGGGGCATCAGTCAGAACAGGCTGGGTTACGCTGTAGTAACAAACAGCTCCTAAAGCTCAGTGCCTTACAACAACTGAGTTTACCTCTTGCATGTGCTTTATGTCCATTGTGAGCTGGCGGTGGCTTGTCTCCATGTTAGGAAATTTACCTGGAAAGAAGTAATTTACAATTGGAGCATTTTGGTCTCATGGCAGAGGAAAAGAGAAGACACAGGAAACCGTGGGCTAGCTCTTAAAACAGCTGCCAAAGCGCGTCACATGGCCAAGTCTAATACCAGTGGGACAGTCTACAGCTCTTCCAGAGTGACCATACAGCCAACGATATAGCCTCACGCACCAGTAAACTGTGGTCAAGGCGAGGGAATCCTAACGGAATATGACATTGATCACCACCACTGGATGGAACAGGCAGGGATGCCATGTTCTGATATAACTCTGTGCAGAAAAAGGGGGTAGGAACACTGGGGAGACAATGGCATCAATCTTGACCAGAGTGATCATTCAGTTAGGACTCTGTGAAACTGCAAGGAGGCTGAACAATTCCTGGGGTCAGTTGGGACACCCTGGAAAGAAAGCTGGACCTGGAGTCAGACACCCCCGGGTTCAAGTTCTGGCTCTGCAATTCACTACGTATGTAATCACAGCCAAGTCGTGGTACAGAATGAGTGCCCCTCATCCAAAATGCTTGAGACCAGAAGTGTTTTGGATTTCAGATGGTTTCCTGCTTTGGAATATTTGCATATACATAACAAGATAACTTGGAGACATGACTCAAGTGTAAACATGAAATTCATGTACGTTTCATATATGCCTTATATACAAAGGCTGAAGGTAATGTTATATAAATCTTAAAACAATTTTTTGGATTAAACAAAGATTCGACCGTGTTTTGACTGAGACCCATCACATGAGATTAAGTGTGGAATTTTGATGCTCAAAACGTTTCAGATTTTGGATCATTTTGGATTTCAGATGTTTACTGTTTTGTTTATTTTGGGACAGAGTCTCGCTCTGTCACCCAGGCTGGAGTGCAATGGTGCGATCTCCCCTCATGGCACCCTCAGCCTCCCGGGTTTAAGCGATTCTCCTGCCTCAGCCTCCCAAGTAGCT